TCTGTAAACCGCTTACAGAGGGTGGTAAAAGCCCTGTGAAGCCCTGTAAGTCTAAGCGCTATTGCGATTTTCAATGCCTTTGTAACTTCAAATGGTCAGTGAGTGATGTGCTTTTAAAGTTTTAACTTCCTTAACGTACAGAGAGAGGGAGAGGGGCGATCACCTCGCTTAACAGCCACAATCCCGTCATTAAGTGACTGCACAATTAAAGGGGAGCAAAAATGCCACCTCTCCTATTTCTAACGCTTCACAAAGACACATTCAATATTTAATATATATATTTTGCCTATTTAATTCTTCTGCCTGTTTTAATCTTTTTTTTTGTCTCTTACTTTTGCCCATTTAATTGGGTTTTTTTTTTGGCCTCTTTAATTTATATGTCTCACCACCACCACCACCTCCCATTTGTATGACACCTCCACGCCCCCTCACGAGAACCTCAGTTAGCAGCTGGAGCCACGCAGGGCCGGGATCCAAGACAGTTGAGAAAGAGAGCCTCCCTGTCCAGGAGCAGTCTACCTTACACCGAAGTTCGGGAAGTTCAGCTTTCTCCCGCTAAAACAGGAGCCGGATCGGGGCCCTCCAGCCTTCCTGGGTCTCCCCAGAAACCCCCGTGGATCCCCTCCCATCCGGTGCCCCCCTCCTTCCTCCGGTATCCCGGCAGCGCCGCCGCCGTCCCCCGTTTCCACCCACCCCGGGTGTCCCTCTCACCGGTTTCCGCCCCTGGGAGCTCTTCGACGTCTTCAGTCTCGCCTCGGCCGAGGGCGGCCGGGGCCTCCTCCGCTTCCTCCGCCATCTTCGCCGCAGCCGCCCGAGCGCGCCGCCTCCCTCAGGGATCCTCGTCGTGGGTCCGGCGAGGCCGCGCTGCGCCTGCGCGGCCCCAATGACCCGGATGTTGCCGGGCAGGAAGATGTCCTCCTTGGCGAATGGGCGGGAAGCTTAGGGCAGCTGCCATAGAGAACGCAAGGGTAGAGAGGAAGGTTTCTTGAAAGGGGAAACCATAGATATGGATGTAAGAGTGTTCGATCGATCGATAAGAGGTAGATAGATAGAGATAGATAGATGGATGAGAGGATATAGACAAATAGACAGATGATACGTAGATAGAGGATAGATAGATAGATAGATAGATGGATGGATGGATGGGAGGATAGATAGATGGATGAGAGGTTAGATAGAGATAGATAGATGGATGAGAGGATATAGACAAATAGACAGATGATACGTAGATAGAGGATAGATAGATAGATAGATGGATGGATGGATGGATGGATGAGAGGATAGATAGATGGATGAGAGGTTAGATAGAGATAGATAGATGATATAGATAGAGAGAGAGATGAAAGGATAGATAAGAGATAGATAGA